CAAACGCAAAACAACATAAGTAAACTAAATCCCTATCATCCATTTTAAACCTCTAGTGACGTCACTCTATTGTCTCGCCAGGGTCTTCTTTTACCTACTAAACCTCTACTGGTAGTTTACCGGGCATTCCCAGGGTAAGCCCCGGGCATTCCTAGGGTAAGCCCCGAGCTTTCTGCAAGAAATCCCGGGAGATTTTCTACTGAAAGCCTGGTTTTTGTCCCGAAAAATACCCTCTGTATTGAATTACCTTTCTGCATGAAAAATACCCAACAGAACATGGCTCAACTATTTATTAATATTAGATGAAATTGAAATTGAGCGTCACAGTTCGATTTAGTTTGTCTTCAGGTCATTGGTCATCTGCTCTTTTTGGATCAGCTTCTTCACGTGATGGCGAGTTCATTTTTTTCAAAATACTAAGTATGTCAGAGACCGTTGCCTTTTGGTTGTCAGAAGTTCTCTTGTAATTTCGAACGGCGTCGCTCCGATGTCCTGAAACAAATTGTTCAGATTACTGAAAGTATTACACATACAGCATACAAATACACTTAAAAACTATTACAGATTCCAAAAACACCATTATTACCATATATATCATAAATAAAAAAGAGCATCTTACTGGTTTGGAAAAAAATATTTCTTTAATCAGGTCCGGGTTACCCCTAAAACGATCTATAATAGATGATACCAGCTATAATAGATGAAATGAGCTACAATACCATAGATCATTCGGTCTATTACAAGGGTGAAACGATCAAAACAAGGGAGTGTGCCTTTAATGCGTACTTCCGCAAAGCGGTTGTCAGGCATGAGTACGACTGACAAATGCAAATTCATATTATGCACAGACGAAAACTCAGGCACCTACAAAATAGCGACTGTCGAGGTGTAATAAATGTCCAAATACACAAGCAATTCACTAAATACAAAAATAAACCCACAAAACGCTGAAATGAACCTACCAAACTCACACGAAGCACACATGGATAGCCGACATCTGCAATGGGCTACTGCGCATGACCGGATGTCTGGTGAGATATCGTATTTTCCGCAAAACAAACAAATAATAGTCGACAACAACAAATTCTATGGTGATGTGTAGGGGACAAAATAAGAAAGTAGATAGGAACAGATAATATTATTGCCTTTCCGTGGATTGCAATAATTGCCCCATGGAGTAATGTCATTGGTCGAACAGAAATACACAAGTCTCAAGGCGGGGTATTTAAAGCCACAAAATATCAGATAAAAGCATCTCTCCACAACGCTGCAACGTACGGGTAACTATGGATTGTCCTTGTATCAATCATGTGGAATTCACACTTGGTCGCACAGACTTGCGTCCACAAAACATCAGGAAATGCAAGAAATTCAAAGTTGCAGTCATACAAAGCCTAAGGGACAGGCATCTCTTAACGCCAACCCAGAACTTTTTATGTCAAGCCTGTTATGAATATGCCAAAGAACATTTTGTGCCAACATGTGAGAAGTTAAATGCTAAAGATGTGGCACAGAACATTGTGGATGGTCGATATGACACCGATGAATTGACTGTAATTGCCAATGCACTTGGACAATCCCAAACTTAAAGTTTATTGGAAGATGCAGATGCTATTGGTCAAGATTAAAAAGATATGACCAAATTACAATCCTTTGACAGCAAAGACTGGTTAGAAAAGAGAAATACTGTCACAGTTGCCTTTTTCAAGGGTGCCACGGGTGTAAATGATGCATCAGGGACACAAAAAATGGGCAGGCTAGTGCGATGCTATGAGCAGTTGTTATCCACATGTAAAAGTGGACTTGTGGCCCCACTAACGTTTGTGCTCAATCTCATGTTATATCTCATGACAGGTAGTAAGGGTGGATGCAGTGTAAATGCAGCCTCAAGCCCTTGTGGCTCGTACAGTACTATTCAGAAATGGCTTCACACAATTGGCAATGAGCCCATTAAATGTCCAGAATCTGGGGATATGGTAACTTTTTTTGACAATAACCAGGTCTTTGCAAGGAATTGGCGTGTCCGTTATGACTGCAAGGCCCTTATCAGTGTCATCACCACCATCTTGCATATGGAGCCCCAACTAAATACGTCTCTACAAACCTCTCCCTAGTACTGCCCGTACAAGTGGTTAGTGTACACACCAGCTGCTATTGCAGAAACCAAATCCGCCATGATAGCTGCAAGGGATGTTTTTGGGGTGTTCAGGGAACACAGGATGCGCTTCCTGAATGCACAAATTAAGATTGTCCTCTCTGAACAAGAGATTTGTAGCCTTTTAAGAGATGGCATTGATGTCCCACCTACAGAAATTAAGAGTGACGTAAAACAGGTAGAATATGAGGTACAAAATGTTGATGATGAGGTACAGTTCACTAAAAAAACCACATGTTCGGAAAAATATGAAATTAGTGAAACAATCAGCATGCCCAAACCAAACTTAATCATTGGAAATCCTGTTCATGTAAATCCCTGTTCCTACGATTCATGCAAACGGGTGTTACAGCACATTATGGTGGAGACCAATGTAGGGGGTGGTAGACAGTGGAGAGTGGTTGGGTGTGATAGGCTTCCCGACTAATTGCCTCAACGTATCAGTGCGCCATATGTCAGGAGTGTTGCAGTGGGTCAGATGATTTCCGACAACACATGGTGACGTCACACAACCTGCACGATTGTGACATTAGTGAACACCTGGCATTTGGTCGCCTGTTACTTGTCCCCGGTCCCGGCCATAAGGAAATCAACATGGTTCGTGCCATATTTAAGTTGTTGTGGCCCTTGGTCATTAAAGGTTTGGCAGGTATGCTAGGGTATAGATCACCAAAGGCATTGTCTGCATGTGAGAACGCCTCCGATCACCACAAGGCGTGGCAGACACTTGAGATCCTGCTCATGGGAACAACCAGGGAACTGTTGTTACCATATGTCAGAGATGCCATCCGCAGAGAACACAATCCAACAGCAGACGGATATGCCAAATGGATGCTTACTGTCAAGAATGACAATTATAGTTTCATGGTCGATTCCATCCTGACGTATGTACTCTCCGTATATCTATTCCGAGCTGGAATGAGGCGTGGGAACCAGGACCATGCTCGGGAGAGTGAAACCCGTGTGAGTGATCTGTACTACGGCCTCAACATGACAATATCAAGAACTAACGTTCAGGTACTTAAAAACTACACTTTCATTCTAAATAATTATACAATCTCATGCCATTTAACGATAGTATCATATTACAATTAACGCTTCATTTGAATTATCTCCCCTTGCAATTAATGTTTTAAACGTAAGTATGAACTGCAATATATTATGATACATTCTGTCCTGACAGAGTTCCATACCCGTCGCCTCGCCTCAACAGATGTGCGTGCCTTCCTTGACCGCACTACATCGATGTCTGTCTCTGGCCATCCTAGCAAGGGTGAAGGGGGTGATTTTATCTTAGAAAGCAGCAACCGCCGCATTAAAAGATGGATGCCCCCTGGCCTACCAACACCCACGAGATGGGATAGGATATGCCACAACATTGACAGACTTGAGAATGTAAGTAAATATGAGACATTTACTAAACGTCATCGCCCGTGTCTGTCCCCACCACCCCTACCCCAAAGCCACAATGAAATTAACAACAAACAAGTACATTGTATTCAATCTTTTTATGGAATATGCCGTGGACAATAGAATGGTATTGATTTTTATTTTTTTGAGGTCCTTGTCCTTCACATAGTGGCCAGTACATCTGTAATGTACCCAGTATATGCACTGGTCACCATCACACCCGACCCAGGGACCCTTCTCTTCGTCCCCCGGCCCATCCCTCTCGATCCCACACAGGGAACAGCGATTTTCTTCTGCTTGTCTAAAGTGGGACAGGTCAGTCTGCTGTTCCCTGTGATGGGTAGTTTCCCCAGGAGAAGGGAACCTAGCCCCTGTTGTCTCGGGTGACTTGCACGTGGTGGTGTTTTCTCCCTATAAATAGAACATAATTAATTCACAGTATTCAGTTATGAATATATATGTAAGTACGTTACATACGGAATAAATGTCATGTACACATGTCTAAATTTGTTATTTGTATTCATATTATTGCCGTATGTACTCACCTTGTATTTATTGAGCATGCCTGGCGTGCCCCAGTGAAATGCTTGATGGGTCGGAGTTGTTACCTCGGCATATACCTCGGCTCCAGTTAAACTGGCTAATTCCATACCCTGTTGACAATATATACATTTTTTTATGGAACAGATGAAACAACAGATGATGCATGTTTTGGACATCCAGCTGCCAGACGAAACCGAATACATGCATGTAACGGACCTGTCCACTGAGGTTGACATGTGGAGGAGACACCTTCGACAGAATGGCTACCTGTCCCGTCCCCAGGAGCAAGGTGTCCACGTCACATTGTCAGGTACCCCAGTGGACAGGGATCTTGTACATTTTGCATCAAAATGCAAGAAGAACCGGACTGATTATTGCCAGGTTTTTGTGATTTCCCAGGATATCGGTCGCATCCATCGTCTGGAACCTGTCTTTCTATTTAACACAGACCGTGATAAATATTTTGACATCAGCCGCCGGAGAAATGAGGACATTAAATCAGTTATCCTTGGGGACATTGAGGTGATCCGTGACATGGGTGCCGAGGATGTGGCGGATGCCCTGTCCTTAACCTACCACAGGGACATCAAGGACAGTAGGAAAAGCCTCTTGTTGACATTCCTGCGTGATGTTGCAGAGGTACTGCAAAACCTGACAGATGTGTTCGATACCAATGGTATGTTTATACTTATTTCTTTACAATTCATTTGTTTTCATTGCACATTTTATTGGCACATTGTATTGTGTCATCAGGACTTACCTTTTTGAAAAATGTTTTTTTCCGCATGTACAGCGCACTTGATCTTTTTTTGCTGTCATCCACATAAGTCTTTCCTCTTTTCCCACGTTGGTGTATTTTCGCTCTGGCGGGTTGTCCTTTTACATTTTTACGGGGATTCAAGGGTTTGCTTACCTTTGGCTCAAACAATGCCGTTTTCTGTTGGGAACATTTCTTTGTTAGGACATTATGAAGTGATCAGTAGTTAATAACGTACAACCTCTGGCGGCCCTCTGCAGTGATGGCGTTGCTTCCAGTCGTCACAATAGGGACTTATTTTCATTTTAATCAGGTAATATATTTTCAACCTCACGTATTCGCCTTACAATGTTGATTATGTCACAAATATTTTATTGTATGTTTTTTTCTGATTATCACTATTATTTTTCAGATCAAGTTCTTTACCTTGCTTGCTGTTGTGGATGGAGTTGCTTCACCGGATTCCGTGTCAGACTTTTCCATTTTTTCATGGGATGAGTATGTTATCTGATATTTTGTGGCTTTAAATACCCCGCCTTGAGACTTGTGTATTTCTGTTCGACCAATGACATTACTCCATGGGGCAATTATTGCAATCCACGGAAAGGCAATAAATATTATCTGTTCCTATCTACTTTCTTATTTTGTCCCCTACACATCACCATAGAATTTGTTGTTGTCGACTATTATTTGTTTGTTTTGCGGAAAATACGATATCTCACCAGACATCCGGTCATGCACAGTAACCCATTGCAGATGTCGGCTATCCATGTGTGCTTCGTGTGAGTTTGGTAGGCTCATTTCAGCGTTTTGTGGGTTTATCAGGTCGGGGATAACCACCAATCGGCGTATAATAAGCCAATCGACGTATTATACGTCAATTGCCGGATACGCCATTACACGCGCACGTGAGTATAACCATGTATCTAGTTGTGATGTGTAGGATCAAAACCGCGCCCGAGGTTTTGTTTGGGAAGTATGCCCGCGGAGGAGGGAAAGGGGGGAGGGCCGATAGGCCCGACCCCCTTTCCCGAGGCCAAGGGCATACTTCCCAAACAAAACCGAGGGAAAGTTTTTGATCTCACTTATGAACTGATCAAATAATATGATTTAGAAATAATTTTACTAATTGGTATTAACATGACTTCATTGATATTTACTGTTGAGAGTTTTACTGCAATACGCGGGGAGTACATCCGCGCGCTGCACGTGACGCACGTGCTTCAGGCCTGTTGTAACAATGAGAGCACGTGGTTCAAGCTAGTCGAATGAATTCCAATGAAGAGGATGGACGCAGACAGCGATATATTTCTGACGCAGTCAGTTTTTAAAGAATCGGCATCCTGTGCTGAAGAAGACAAGGAAAGTGATGACTTTAAATTCCGTTTAGGAGATCCACTCTCCGAGCGTGAAATAACCTTACAAGTTACCGTCAAAAGACTGTTCAAGACGTCCGGTATTGAGGGCATGAAGATAAACCATTCCTTGAGAGCCACGGCAGCCACTCGATTGTATCAAGGTGACGTTGATGAACAAATGATTTGCGAAATTACCGGTAGGTTGATAACCATTTTAGTCCTGCAGTAATAAGAAATTGTTATTCAGCAAAAGTCATAACATATCAACAGGTCCGGGTTACCCCTAAAACGACCTATAATAGATGATACCAGCTATAATAGATGAAAAATGAGCTACAATACCATAGATCATTCGGTCTATTGCAAGGGTGAAACGATCAAAACAAGGGAGTGTGCCTTAAATGCGTACTTCCGCAAAGCGGTTGTCAGGCATGAGTACGACTGACAAATGCAAATTCATATTATGCACAGACGAAAACTCAGGCACCTACAAAATAGCGACTGTCGAGGTGTAATAAACGTCCAAATACACAAGCAATTCACTAAATACAAAAATAAACAGGTCGGGGATAACCACCAATCGGCGTATAATAAGCCAATCGACGTATTATACGTCAATTGGCGTATATAACATACGCCGATCGACGTATGTGAAGACAATCACAGCGCAGGCCATGCAAGAACCAATATCCTACTATGCGCTAGAGCGCCAATTGAAAGTGGCCAAATGCCCGCTTGCGACAGAAATGACAATTCACCCATTAAAACTAGAATTTGACCACACATGGCACACAAATACACCCCCCGTCAACTTACTTGCACACATATCAGGCTCAACGACAATGTTATACTTCTGTTTGCTCAGTTTAATGCACATACACCGCTCAGCCGTACATCTGCAACGCCATGTTGCTCTGTACCGGAAGCAGTACTAAACGATAAAAGGAGATGTTGACTGGGAAATGAATGCACAAGCCCAAACAAACAATTTCTATGGAGGCCCAGTGGCTGGTCATAATTGAAGAAATCCGAATTACAAAATGAAATGGAAAATAAAACCGTTAAACAAATAAAAATTGAGGGGAAAATGGCATGGCAACAGTGTACACGAATAACACATGTTGACAACCATTGGTACAGAAAAAGAACGAGCAATCCGAGTGGTTAAGAATCGTCAGTAAAGGTGTATTTAAAGCCATGTCATGATAGGAAGTGTGTCTGACTGCAACTAACCGGAGAGGAAACCATGGAACACCAGGAGGAGGCTAGTGGACAAGACAAAGATACCATAGAGGTGAGAGAAGACAGTAAACTGCAAAGAAATAATGCATGAAACAGCACCTGATAATGGAAGCATAAATACACTTTTATGAACAAGACATAGGAAGTATTGTCCAACGCTCACCCTTTCACATCCGGGCTTGGGACCGGCAAAGGCGGGTTTAAAGTTAAAACCATAGATCGTTATTGCACATCACACGACACAATGAAGTATATCACAGTAGATTGCCACGAAAATATATCACAGATGACTCAGGGCACGCTAGTGTCACTGTCACTCCATATACACTGTGGAAGTAATATCACAGATGACTCAGGGCACGCTAGTGTCACTGTCACTCCATATACACTGAGGAAGTAATATCACAGATGACTCAGGGCACGCTAGTGTCACTGTCACTCCATATACACTGAGGAAGTAATATCACAGATGACTCAGGGCACGCTAGTGTCACTGTCACTCCATATACACTGAGGAAGTAATATCACAGATGACTCAGGGTACGCTAGTGTCACTGTCACTCCATATACACTGAGGAAGTAATGTCACAGATGACTCAGGGTACGCTAGTGTCACTGTCACTCCATATACACTGAGGAAGTAATATCACAGATGACTCAGGGTACGCTAGTGTCACTGTCACTCCATATACACTGAGGAAGTAATATCACAGATGGCGCATGAATCATGAAGGCACTGCATGTGAGTGGCGTGCAGGTCAAGCAGTTGAGGAACCTGTAAATATAGAAAATACATTTTAACAGATGCCGGAAACCTACAGACACAAAAAACGTCGACTAACACAGGCCAAAAAACCGACAGTGGTGAAAAATCATTACAAGGGACCAATGCCTACAACATTTGTGAGTGACGCCAAAAAGAAATCCAACACCCTCTGCTCCAGAAAGCGGACACTGATGAAGAAGGTATGATAACACAATGTAAAACATTACATATGTAAAGAAACACACATCAATATTAATGGCCATGTAAAAGCATACATTACCTGAAGTCTCAATCCATCACTTCCAGAAGGCCTCCCAGGATGTCGCTGGCATTACGGAGGAATGTGAGCAGCACAGACTTAGTGCCAGTCCTGCCATGGCGGTGAAAGTCCTTACGCAGAGATGCTGCCACATCCTTCGATCCAAGGTCCTCAATCTGATTGATTTCCGCTGTGACCATGTCGACCAGTTCGGCGTTTGTCCTCTTGGTGATATCTTGCGACTTCTCACGGTCCCCTGCCAAAATGAAAACCCGTGGTAGCTTAACCACGCATCCCAGTTTCTGGCCTGACACAATGGCATTAACATACACAGATTTGTTGTTAACACACATTCCTGCAAACATACAGAGTTCAGAGTCCAGGGGCTGTCCTGAGAGGGACGTGTGCGGAACTGCACTTGCAGGCTTGGCCAGATACCCAGACTGTCGCACACGATGACGCCAGTGACGGTTCTCGTTGTCCAGATTCGGATGATAGACATCATCGGTGTCGTCTGGGGCACCACCAGACATCTTAGACAGATGTGATCGGATCTGTAAATACATAATTGATGTAATGCTGATGTGTGAAAGTAAGAGTAAACATGTATTACTACAAATTGAAATGTTTCAGGTAGACGAATTAGTGAGCCGGACACATTCGGAGGCCTACCTATACATCGTGACGCCATCCAAACAAAATTGGTCGTATGGATCACATGAACTGAAATCTAAGTACGACAAATTGCTCGTAAGTAAAGCATATCAACCAGTAAACAGATGTATTATTTCCAGTCAACGTCAATCAACAGTCATTGTTACATATGACATATGCATATTAATATTTCTTACAGATGAAACAACATGGACCCATGGAAACACAAGGGATTCCAGCACACACAACAACCGATGATGGCGTTACCGTCCCCTTCCCTTCACCCACTAACAGGAAAACTACCACATCAGTTCATGTACAAACCACAGTTTCCATGTTTCGACAATCGAGTGCAAATAAATGTGCCATTTGCCATATTGAAAGAGATGGTGATGGCGACACAGAAAAGGGACCATGGGGAGGATGTGATGCCCCAAATTGTGATTATTGGGTGCATTTCCTCTGTTATGGTTACAGTGTTTCAAAAAAACACCTCAGCATAATGAGAAAAATACCATTCTACTGTGATAAGCACAGACACACAACACTGTAATAAAATTGCTACTAAACTCTTGTTATTGTTACTATTAATTTTATACATTTTCAAAGCCTATGGTTTACTCAAGAAGGGCCATTATTCAGGTGAATACAACTCTTGAAAATGCATGACAATATGCGCACAAACTGAAAACCGAGTGTCGGGAAATACGGAGTTCATTATTCAATGCCAATTAAACAGCAGTAACCTCCCCTTACATGGGGAAAGTTGATCCTCAGCACATCAACACCACGCAGCTGTATAAGTATTGATCCTTAAACAGCAGTTATTCCCCCTACCTTTATATGTTAAAGCGGCAAGTAAATAAAAATTGATACTGTGGCTGTATAAATGTAGTTCCACTGTTGTAAGGACAGTATGTACATATTCAGACGAAACCTTAAAAATATATTGCAGTGTGTACCAACGAAATGACAACAAATGAATGGTGTTCGTAGTTAGGCATGATACATTACAAACGTTTCATAATATGAATAATACAGTCAATTGTAAAAATGCCATATATGTCATCTATTGAAACGTTTAGAGTTTTTCAAGTACCTTGGTTTGTGCGTTTTACTGTTTTGTCAGTATGAATATCACGTTGTTCAATAGTTGCATATAATCGATTAAGTGTTTCATGAAGGGTTATTACCTGGTCTAAGGTATCTATGTTGCGGCATATTCTCTGTCAGTGCTGTTCTGTGGGAAGTCCCGGAGGCATCCACATCTGTATGCGTCTGTTTTTGGCCTCAAAAACGAAATCTCCCCCTTCACCCCTGAAATCCTTCCCTGACGCAGACATAGAAATATGCGATTCGATGAAGTCCTTCACCTCTGGTGGACTAGAGTACCTGACATGATGCTCCCGAAGTGTGAGTTCCTGGTACTGCGTCATGTGTAGGCCATAGAACAGGTCCGAGAAACGTGCATAGGATTCTGTAATCAATCTCTCATTTCCTCTTCTCATGCCACACCGGAAGAGAAACAGTGCCATGATATATGTAAAGGTGACATCGGCCATGAAAAGGTAGTTCCTGTTCTTAGCACATGATAGCCATGAATGTAATAGAGTCACACTTGCCTGCCTGCCATGTTGCTTACACTCTCTGATGAATGGAATGAGAAGCTCAGCTCCTGTCCCCTACAGAAATATCTCCAGCATCTGCCAAGCCTTATGATGATCCGTGGCATGTCGGCACGCGTCTTGGGCTCGAATTGTCCTGAAACCCAGCATGATGCCAAGATCTTTAAGGATGACATCCCACAATAACTTAAAACTTGCCTTTGCCATGTTGATTTCCATGTGTCCGGGTCCTGGGAGCAATAAGATATTTCCGAACGTCCGGTGTTCCTGTGGATTGTGACATGGTTGGTTATGGTCATAATCCAGATGCTTCTGTAAGTCAGACATGCCATGAATATCGGTGGCATTACAGATGGAACATGTGTAATGGTTGTCAATCACACGCGAAGCAAGGTTATACGGAAGGCCATCACATCCAATCACACACCATGATCTAGAAATTCCCACACCAACATCTTCCAAAATCCTGCGGAGCACAACCTCCATTGACATGTATGAACATGGATTTATTATGACGGGCTCACCTACTACTAGATCTGGATGGAACAGTTCACCAGCCTCAACAATGTCATACTTGTTTGGTGTCCTATTTGATCTCACAATCCTGATCTTTGACGTATCGTCATCCCGACTCACCGTGTAATGGGTGTCATCCATGGCTGTGGGTGGATCAGGCAGCACGGCACAATCAAAACTGTCACTCACGCCATCTGCACCTTGTTCTGCAAGGACTTTGTCCAACATTACAGTTAGTACTTTTGTTTGATAATGACGAAAGACATCCATAGACGGAGATATGAAAGAGGGTAGTGTGGTCTGCAGAGCTATGACGTCATACGTCAACCAGTTGCATGGACTGAGATGGGGTGTTGTCTGCAACGTAGTTTCAGGTGGGAATATGTGTAGCAATGTCGTTACAACACTCACCATGGCTTTGGCGTCGTATCTAACTCTCCAATTCCTCGCCAGCACCTGATTATTGTCAAAAAATGTAATGATATCTCCTGCTGTGGGACATTTTACAGGCACGGCAGCTTGTTCGTTGATCCACTTTAGTATGGTTTGGTAAGAGCCAGATGGACTTGTCTTGGCCGACAGATTGCAGGCAACTTTACTGCCTGTCACATAATATAGTAACAGGTTCATGGCGAACGATAGCGGGCATATTACATTACTGTTCCTTGCACCATACAAGTGTTCATAGGCACGAGCCAAATATGCATGTTTAGTGGCAGTACTATCACTATTAACATTCGTAAGTGATTGCAACAGAGCAAAAACAACAGGGTTCTGTTGTGTCAACCATTCCTTGGCATCATATTTGCTCAGGTTATCGGGTTCCCCGTACTGGGATGACACAATCTGGCCGTCATGGTACAATTGTTGCTGTTGGGTGTTACCAAGTGCGACAGCAACTAACCGCAAATCGTCACTGGTGTAGACACCGGATTAAATACAACGTGCAACGTCGACAGCTGTGGGAAAGGTGTTATCAGATACATTTGGCAGATGGTTCAGTTCCACATAGTTAGCACATTCAGTGCACAAATTATTGTTTGTGGTTGACAGCCACCCATTTTTTCTCAAGAAAGTTATCACAGGTTGCCGGATTTTGCGCCATTTCAGTTTGTACACTTTAAAGGTTTTTTCTCCGACGAAATTGTCATGTTGTGTACACCCACATTCCATTATACATTCAATATGGCGTACTATTTATCGTTATATATATAGCGGATATCACAAATGTTATATCACAATGTACGTGAAGTATCACAGTCAGTATTCACATAATTTCAATCACAGATGTTGAGTTGATCACAGTTTGACGTAGGTTTCAATCACAGATAATATTAGGGGTTCAGGTTATCACAGTTCCAAATACAATATATCACAATGAGCAATGTCAATAAGTACAATGATTATGTTCCTCCATACCCTTTCCTGTGCAGGAATTTGATGTCAGACACACTTCCTATCATGACATGGCTTTAAATACACCTTTACTGACGATTCTTAACCACTCGGATTGCTCGTTCTTTTTCTGTACCAATGGTTGTCAACATGTGTTATTCGTGTACACTGTTGCCATGCCATTTTCCCCTCAATTTTTATTTGTTTAACGGTTTTATTTTCCATTTCATTTTGTAATTCGGATTTCTTCAATTATGACCAGCCACTGGGCCTCCATAGAAATTGTTTGTTTGGGCTTGTGCATTCATTTCCCAGTCAACATCTCCTTTTATCGTTTAGTACTGCTTCCGGTACAGAGCAACATGGCGTTGCAGATGTACGGCTGAGCGGTGTATGTGCATTAAACTGAGCAAACAGAAGTATAACATTGTCGTTGAGCCTGATATGTGTGCAAGTAAGTTGACGGGGGGTGTATTTGTGTGCCATGTGTGGTCAAATTCTAGTTTTAATGGGTGAATTGTCATTTCTGTCGCAAGCGGGCATTTGGCCACTTTCAATTGGCGCTCTAGCGCATAGTAGGATATTGGTTCTTGCATGGCCTGCGCTGTGATTGTCTTCACATACGTCGATCCGCTTATTATACGCCGATTGGTGGTTATCCCCGACCTGTTTATTTTTGTATTTAGTGAATTGCTTGTGTATTTGGAGGTTTATTACACCTCGACAGTCGCTATTTTGTAGGTGCCTGAGTTTTCGTCTGTGCATAATATGAATTTGCATTTGTCAGTCGTACTCATGCCTGACAACCGCTTTGCGGAAGTACGCATTTAAGGCACACCCCCTTGTTTTGATCGTTTCACCCTTGCAATAGACCGAATGATCTATGGTATTGTAGCTCATTTTTCATCTATTATAGCTGGTATCATCTATTATAGGTCGTTTTAGGGGTAACCCGGACCTGTTGATATGTTATGACTTTTTCTGAATAACAATTTCTTATTACTGCAGGACTAAAATGGTTATCAACCTACCGGTAATTTCGCAAATCATTTGTTCATCAACGTCACCTTGATACAATCGAGTGGCTGCCGTGGCTCTCAAGGAATGGTTTATCTTCATGCCCTCAATACCGGACGTCTTGAACAGTTTTTTGACGGTAACTTGTAAGGTTATTTCACGCTCGGAGAGTGGATCTCCTAAACGGAATTTAAAGTCATCACTTTCCTTGTCTTCTTCAGCACAGGAAGCCGATTCTTTAAAAACTGACTGCGTCAGAAATATATCGCTGTATGCGTCCATCCTCTTCGGTGGAATTCATTCGACTGGCTTGAACCACGTGCGTTCATTGTTACAACGGGCCTGAAGCACGTGCGTCACGTGCAGCGCGCGGATGTTCTCCCCGCGTATTGCAGTTAAACTCTCAACAGTAAATATCAATGAAGTCATGTTAATACCAATTAGTAAAATTATTTCTAAATCATATTATTTGATCAGTTCATAAGTGAGATCAAAAACTTTCCCTCGGTTTTGATCCTACACATCACAACTAGATACATGGTTATACTCACGTGCGGGTGTAATGGCGTATCCGGCTACAGGGCCCTTCCCTTTAAGAGGCAACATTAGTAAGTAATCAGTAAATAATCAAGTAATTTATGATTTAATGAAAGGTGTGCACAATCACCGTTTTTTCCGTTTATACCTCAAAAAACGCAAAACAATTGAAGTCAATTCTTAATGTGATTCCGATATACACGTAAGATTATGATTTTGTTTGACCTTTAACATAATTGAACTAGTTTTTATGTTGATGTATACATGACCACTTTATTAATTCGGTTTGAATTAATATTTGAAACCCTGCTGCAACATGTTTAATTTAAACAAAACAAAAATAAACTTAACAGTTCATTCGTTGTTATGAAAATATATTATCAAGTTCCGATGGAGAATCTATTCGTTATGTATAGCACCACGGACTTGTGTATACGTCCGTGATAGCACATGATATATATGTTGGAGAAATAACCCGAGTACTCCCGAGCAGACCCGATGGCCAGACGAGTAACACTGTTTACATTACTGGCAAGGGAGTCTATATACGAAAAGGCAGTATTTGTTCACCTCGTGTATTGACTCCCTCTTGAGAAGATAAGTTGAATGAACGTATTACTTTACATAAATACATATCGAATATCGGCCGGTCTTTCGCTGATCTATGTCAGCTTGAATTAGTACATAAAATATAGGTCCTAGTATCGACCCTCACGTTATCTCTCGCTCAACAAAATTGTCACGTCTTGGAGAATATGCGACACGGGGGTGCGGTTGATCGTAGGTGAGTCAGTGGGGCCAGTCACGTTAACGGTTTGCGTACGTGTGTTGTGCGTGGACATAGGCTGATGCTAGTATTTTAACGGGTTTAAGGGACTGGCACAATGTCCGAACAGCCGACTCGGTATTTTGAGGAAAAAGACCACGCCGAAGCTTATGCTAAATACCGAATACCGTTCACCGCTGCAGTCGTGGATTGTATAGTGCGGTATGTTCAAGATGGCGGCTGCGAGTTAAACATGGCGGTGGATATTGGCTGCGGTACAGGCCACCAGAGCACCATCCCACTTTCCCGCGTCTTCAAACACGTCATCGGTGTCGACGTCAGCAGGGAACAAATACGACAGACACCACATCTGAGCAACGCGGACTTCCGAGTCGCTCGAGGTGAAGATATGCCATTCCTTGAATCTTCTTCCGTGGATGTTGTTTCCGTGGCAACGGCTATACACTGGCTTGATCTTCCTGATTTCTACAAGGAAGTAGATCGGGTCCTGAGGCCCAGAGGGTGTTTGGCGGTTTATTGGATGCACAGGCAGAAACTGGACAATACGGAAGCCCAAGAAGCCGTTGAGGAGGTGAGAGTTAAAGTGGGCTAGCTTCCGTTCGCAAATTGTTGTTGAGTTGTGTCAATCGAGCAGGTCTAAGTTAGGTGCCAGTTTCCAGCAGCTCAAGCTCATTACAATCCGATCTTAGTTCTCGCTACCGCTGAAGAAAGATATGAGGACATCCCATTACCGGGCGCGTCAGGTCGACCTTTCACCCAACCAATGAAAACGTCGCTTACCAGACCAGGATTTGTTTGTTTGTTGTTTAACGCCGCACCCAAAGAAATAAAGCTTGTGGGTTAGATTTGATAGATAATGGTTTGATTGATGCATATGAGTTGTTACTGACCCTACTCACATCGCTATTCAATCTTGTATTCACGACGGGTATAACTCCTAATGCATGGTCAACTGGTATTATCAAGCCCATATACAAGAGAAAGGGTGACCCGCTAGACCCTGCTTCTTATCAACCTATCACAATACTGAGTTGTCTTGGTAAGCGATTTACTGGTATTTTAAACACTAGATTAAATGTGAATAACATATTATCGCCAGCCCAAGCTGGATTTCGTAAGGGATTTTCTAGAACTGACAATATTTTTGTTTTGAATATGCTAATAAATATACTAAAAAAGAAAAAAGAAAAAATATATTGCGTTTTCATTGATTTTTCAAAAGCTTTTGATAGTGTCTGTGTACATTTTTAACATTAGTTAAAACGTGTATAGTGCCATTAAGTCATGTGTTCAAATAGGCAAACACACTTCTAGCCTCTTCTCAAGTTACACTGGAGTTCGCCAGGGAGGAAATGTATCTCCCCTACTATTTTCAATATTTCTTTACGACCTAGAACCCTGGTTGAGAGAAAACTGTTGCCAAGGTGTCAAGTTAACGCTGTCAGATGAAACATTTACTCTCTGTGTACAGCTCCTGTTACTGCTGTACCCTGATGACATAGTTCTATTTGGTACCGATCCTGGATCTCTGCAAACCTCATTAAACTCACTTTTTTTTATACTGTCGAAAATTGAAACTAACGGTTAACATATCTAAAACTAAAGTTGTTTTTTGGTAGTGGTACTACAAAGAGAACCCCCCCCCCCCCCCTCCTTCATTTTCGAAATAAAAAAATAGATTATTTATGATTATTTAAGGCATACAATTCTATAAAAATGGGAACTTTGAACTTGCCGTCAAAACTTTAATCGAGAATGCCACAAAATGTATGTACTGTCTCCTGAAAAAATCCCGAAATAACAGTCCTACTTAATTATATTATTAAAGCATTTGGTAGATTGGTGGTACCAATCTTACCGTACGGCGCCGAAGTGTGATGATTTGAATGTTTGAATATGGTTGAAAAAGATCATTTAAAATTCCTTAAATTAGCGGCTGGTTTAAAATTATCAACTCCTTCTTTTATGGTCTATTTCGAATTAGGCAGGACCCCCCTTAATATTAGAGTAGCTAAAAGAATTATAGGTTTTTGGCATAGACATATTATACGATCTCTACAAAATAAGTTTTCGACTCTAATTTATCAATTCGTAAGGATGGATGCTCACGTAAACTCCAATATTCACCCTTGGTTATGTAATCTAGAATGTCTATTAAGCTCCTGCAGCTGTGGCCTGACCCAAGTATAAAATATGCCATGTAATTTCAACACCAAGTGGCTAGTCTCGTCTGCGGAAAGGATATTGACCGATCATTTTCTACAATCCTGGAGAAGTTCAATATTGTCGAGTTCAAAAGGTTTCTATTATAAACATCTTAAAGAAATGCCATTATTTGAAAACTATCTCTATGTACATTTACCTAAATCTGTTTATTGCCCGATCTTAAAATTTAGCACTAATAACCACAATTTACCAGTCGAGACGGGCGCTGGAATAATGTAACTCCCCAGCAATAGCAAATGAATTCCATTATACTGAAGCGCAAAAGAAACGTCACCATGGATAGATATATTTGTCCAAACACTGTAAACATACTTTGAGACATATAAAAGAGATGAAACATGGCAAAGGCAGGGCCACTGCATGGTTCTGATGCCATTCTGCTGGAGGAAGTCTCTTGTTGCTCTCACAGTTTTGGCACGGGCGTTATCATGCTGAAACTCGTGGTTGCGGCGACGTGCCAAATGAGGTATGGCGTGTCGTCTCAAGACTTGATCAATGTACCGAGCTTCTGTGACACCATTGCCTCTCCCTGGACCGGTGTTCTGGAAGACCACCTGGCCGACCCTCTGTGCAAGACCAATTCCACCCCACACCATGATGCTCGGACCACCCAACGAGTCTCTCTCAACAACACAAGCATCCGAATAAAGTTCCCCACGGCGTCGCCTTACTCTCCCTCTGCCATCTGCTGTTGAGATACAGTAACGACTCTCGTCTGAGGAGAGGTGGCGCCAATGCTAGTGCTGCGTTGCCCACTGAAGACGGTCCCGGCGATGACATGGTGTCAATATGGATCCTCGGTGTTGCCTGTGACAGTGGAGGTGTCTGCTCGTCAGTCGTCGACGCACGGTGTCCGTACTAATGTGTCGCTGGTGTGTCAAGCAGTTTCCGCAGCAGTAACAAAGCCATCTTGAAGAAGCTGTCGCACAATCTGACGGTCCTGACGTCGGGTGGTGACCCTTGTTCTTCCACTACGTGGTCGGTCATGTGGAGTGATGGTGGTCTGGTACCGTTGCTGGAGCCTGTATATGGTCCTTACGTGGACTTGAAATGCATTGGCTACTTACCGGGCGGTTTGTCTAGCTTGCAATCGCCCAAGGGCTTAGTTTCGGCTTTTGTCGGGCTTTTGTCAATCTTGGCATGTGGTAGCAATTCAATAACGAATGAATGTTATCGGATCTGGGTGGATTTTTATAGGGCAATAAATGGAGGAACGCATGTGCATTTCAATTCGCACGGAGTGAGTGAGTTTCGTTTTACGCCGCTGTTAGCAATATTCCAGCAATATCACGGCGGGGGACACCAGAAATGGGCTTCACACATTGTTCCCATGTCGGGAATCGAACCCGGGTCTTCGGCGTGACGAGCGAACGCTTTAACCACTGGGCTACCCGACCGCCCCCAATTTGCACGAAACTCTCGTGCAATCGGGTGACCATGGCCGTTGCCGTGATGCGTTTGGGCAATCGATTTTATTGTCATCTGCTTTGTTTTTTTATCATCAAATTGCATTTCTCCGGATAAGGTCATGTTAAATTTCAGACAAAAAATACCCAAGTATAGAAATGACAACTTTTCATGCAATGTTACTTTGAGTGACGTTTCTTTTGCGGTTAAGTATTTATTTCGATTTCAAGCTATTGATAACAAAATACTTTCACTTATTCCTAGAAGATATTTAACTTGGTCAAATGTGTTTTCATTAAAAAGCTAAAACGTCTATCAAAATATGCACTATTTGTATTTACCGCTTTGAATGGTAAATCTAAATGCACACAGCCTTCTTGATGTACATATTATATTTATCTCTGCACTTTATGTATGCTCTTGTACCACCGTCGGCGGTCTATGGAGAAATACAAACATCTGAATCTGAAGCAATATTCCAGGTATATGATGGCGGTCTGTAAATAATCGAGTCTGGACCAGACAATCAAGTGATTGAACTCATGAGTATCGATCCACGCAATTGGGATACGATGACATGCATCCATCAAGTCAGCGAGCCTGACCACTAATCTCATTAGTCGCCTTTTACGGCAAGCACAGTCGCCCTTTACGGCAAGCATGGGTTGCTAAAGACCTATTTATACCAGACCAGGAAAGTGACAGTCTGAAAGTGTTTTATTATCGTGCAGAAAGTTACGGGCTGTACGAGTGATTCAGTCAAAATTGCTTCTATTTCTTGCGTCAATGGGATAAATATTCGAACCGAAGAGACTTTGCATATCCCGTGGGATATACTGAAATACATTCTCGGTCATCTATAAGATATTCCAGAATGTTTTTGGGAATCGAAACTTTGTAAAAAAACCCCATAAAATAAACAATTCAAAGCGTTATCTGGAATGGAAGTCGCCACTTTGAAACTAGTGACGTATCGGCCATGAAAGCAGCTTTTTGACAGGCTAATATCGTATGTTAAGTCATTTCATTGGTCGGTCAAAATTCGCGCAAGGTCCTTTTGACGTGACCTGTGATGGGATGTCCTCAGATTTTGTTTAGCGATAGTGAGAACTAAAATTAGAATTTAATGAAATTTCTAACAACTCAACATTTTATTTCACTCGTGAAAACATGTCAAAATGATATCCCTCTCATTTTATTGTGAGTTTGTAAACTAACGGCGACTCCGTGTGTTTGTGCAGTGGACATCGTCAGGCCCAAAATGAACACAAATGTTCATTTTAAATAATAAAATCCCCATTGACTTAAAAAATCTACTTAAATGACAAAAACATATTCTTAGTAAAAACCTGACAACTTTACTTATTGCACAGCATTAAAAACGCCCACATTGCAGATGGTATGGTTCGCTGACTTGGTTGATGCATGTCATCGATCCCGATTGCGTGGATCAATGCTCATGATGTCAATCACTGGATTGTCTGGTCCAGACTCGATTATTTACAGACCGCCGTCATATAGCTGGAATATTGCTGAGTGCGGCGTTAAATACCAAACAACCAGACGGACAGAGTGACATGCTTCACGTGCTTTACGATGAGAACCTCACGGAAGACACCAAATCAAGTTTTAATGTCATTTTTGTAACTAGTCTGCATGCAGGAAGTAATATCAAATAGCTAGATGCACGTTACCAAGAATAACACGAAACACGGTTTGCCAACAGTGTAGTGAATATTTTAACTGCTAATTCGTTACAAATAATACATGTGCCGGCCAAGCTGTCGAGTTTCATTATTTGTAACGCATGTCCATTTGTGCGCACATTATCCTACTTAAAACACAGCATCAAAGTTACAAAATACTTCCTCATCAAATTTTGAATATAGCCTGAAAGTTAAAATTAATGAATAAATAAAAGAAAATAAATGCAACACAAATATGCCGAACGGAAATTTCATGCAGTGCTTTAATAAAATACATGAGAATCCTCTTGCTTTGACTTCTGTGCGTGGTGCATCAGCCAATTAGAAAGCAGCTTTCTTGAACTTTACGGCACTCGTTTCAACCTTGCGACTTCCCTTTCAGACTACGCTTGAAAAATATGTTGACACAGTTCTTGATTCAAATTTTGAAATTGAACAAACGAACATTCCTGAATGTCTAATATATGGTTGCAATTGTGTGACAGAGCTTCCTACGTACTGGGCAACGCCTCCTCCATTCAAATTTTTATTCCACGGAAGCGAGAGATGGACGATAATTTTGACGGAATCAGTCGTACGGGTCGTTACTGTCGTTACTGTCGTTCGGAATACCCCATGTTAACGTCTTCGAGGTTGCATGATAAGAAAACACATTCTGAGTGCCACTTTCATGATCTTGTAAGCGACGTTTTGGTCGGATGAAAGGTCGTGATGATCCATAATGGGATGTCCTAAGATCTTTGTTTAGCGATAGCGAGAACTAAGATCTGATTTTAATGAGATTGATGAATTCTCTAATGTGCTTGAGTCTTGTCTAGTTCCACGCTTCGACGTCAGAATACCGCCCAGACGAAGTGAAAAGGATCTGGGACAAGAAGGAGATCCCCGAGTGCCCGTATGGAACATGGCTGCAGTGAGTAGATCTGTATCCCACTGACTTACATTTCCCGCCTCAGCCCCATTTAGCCTGATGTGTGAGCCCTACCAATTCATTGTTTAGGAATTATTATTCTTAAACACCCGTGAAGATCCGGGTTAGAATAGGTCTACAGCAACCCATGCTTGCCGTAAGAGGCGACTATGCTTGTTGTAAAGGGCGACTAACGGGATCGGGTGGTCAGGCTCGCTGACTTGGTTGATGCATGTCATCGTATCCCAATTGCGTGGATCGATGCTCATGAGTTTAATCACTGGATTGCCTGGTCCAGACTCGATTATTTACCGACCGCCGTCATGTAGCTGGAATATTGCTGAGTGCGGCGTTAAAAAACCCTAAACAAACTTAAACACAATGGAAACATAAGCGTGATGTTTTTACCACAGTAAGAATAGAGGTAGTGATATCAAATTCTCATTTATAATAACTACTCTCCTCTGTCTATCGCTTCAGAGCGTAAACGCCATCACTACGGTTGTTATAAATTCTCATAACATGGCAACGTTTCGCTTTTTCCGACGCTTATCTGCAAATGAAATTCACCCTCTCTTTAATATATAAACCTCTTAGTCTTGGGTTAAATACATACAACATGTCGGCTGGTCAGGCTCGCTGACTTGGTTGATGCATGTCATCGTATCCAATTTGGTGGCTCGATACTCATGAGTTCAATCACTTGATTGTCTGGTCCAGACTCGATTATTTACAGACCGCCGTCATATACCTGGAATATTGCTGAGTGTGGCGTTAAACAACAAACAAACAAACAAACAAGCAAACAAACAAACAAACAAACAACAGCTATCATGGGTTAAGGGCAAACACCTCGATCATAAAATATTACGAATTGTTCACTCGTGAAACAGTGATAGCATTTCCTCGAAACGAGCGAATGATTAATACTGTTATGAGTACATGTGTTCTAAAAGCCATCCATACAAAACATAATCCTCTTTCTTAACCCCTGTTTTACAGTGGGACTTTGGGGTAGCCTCGTGGTTAAAACCCTTCGCTCGACAGTGTTCCATTCAATATGTGAAGCCCAATCCTGCCGTTACATTGATGGAATATTGCAAAAAGCGACATAAAACACTATTCATTAACTCACTCACTTTTTTGTCAGTGACACCAGTGTTGTCATAACCAAGTCCTGGACAGTGGAGGACTTCATCAAACTCACCTCCACAATGTCCTTCTGGCAGAAGTATCTGAAGGCGAACCAAGGCTCTACAAAACTGAAGGATTTTGGAGAAAAGTATGTATTTTTATCCGTTGTACACTTACGAATGCTTCAAGCAAATATTTATTTCTCATTCGGACAGTTAATTCATTACATTAATATTAATACTGTAAAACTTTGTTGTATCCAAGTATCGATATTTTCAGAGGCTAATTGAACTGATGAAAGTCATTAAACCCCTGATGGAGATAAAAGATGAATGTCCTTCTGTAGTAAACTACGGATGTAACGAACTCAAAGGGAGCTCTAATTCTAGTTCCTTATAACCGTCAGTTCATTATAAGCGTGTTCGTTATAAACGTAGTTTACTGTAATGGGGGATGGGGGAAACGATGAAAGGTGTTTTCGAAACTCCGATTATAATCCTTTTACATACAAGATACATATTATATATACATATTATAGTATATTAGTTAAAATAGCTGAGAATTGTTATTGTTATGTTTACTGCAGACTGAGCAGTCGACTTCGCAGTGGCACAGAGGAAACACGAGGAACATCCACTGCAATGGAAGTGAAATATCTCGTCAATATTCTGCTATGCAGGAAACCAAATCTTTGACTCCTCACACGACATTGTGTTTTGTGTGCAATGAGCCACTTTTAAAGGTGCATTTCTTGTCAAGGGTTAGTTATACTGTTGGCTTGTGACATACGTATCTGAAATAAAAGTCAAAACCTCTGCCCGTTTTTGTTTGATTCACCTTTTGTTTCAATATTTGTTTTATCACCTTTTTTTTTACCGTATTAACGTGTTAGGTTCATCGATTGGGTGCCAAGATAACTGACTGGCCAGGATAGAACATCAGTTGGTTTCGAATCCCAAATGTGGCTCAATTTTTGTCGTTGGTATAACACCATACGAGTGCTCGTGGGTGAAAAATGTCTCCACCGTGACACGTCAAAATGTAACTGAAAAATATTTCAAGGCACCTTCGACTATCCGGATATACAAATCGTTGTTTTCGAGGGGTGACGCAGGTAAATCGTGAAAAACATGGCGTCTTCAAATTCTAAGAGTGCAGTTAAATTGCATCTTGAATTAACCATTTTATACCCTCATTGACTGTTACATGTCATGTATTGCAGGTGTATGGGCTAAACCACTGGTTGTATTCAGGCGTGTGTTTTCGGTAACTGTTTTATTACCTTTAAATAAACTTTAATCTTGAACCGTTCATAGTTTCTAAAAGTCGTTCTCTTTTCAAATTTCATAAAACACATCAAATCTGTGTGACATACGCATAAACAACATGTTATTCACATTGTCAACATACTCACACCTATTGACGCATGTTAGCATATATAGTACTGAAAATACTACACTCATTCTCATCAGATACCATTTTTACGAAACGAGTGGATTTTCTATGGTATCTGACGGAGCGAAAGCGAGGTCTCATACCATAGAAAGTTCACGAGTTTCGTACAGATGGTATCTAACGAGAATGAGTGTTGTATTTTAATTATTACTCACGTTAAAGGGGCACTGATCTAACGCAATTCCCCGGGACTGGTTGTTGCCTTTGTTATTGTTTTTTCCCAGTGAGTACCCGGATGTATAGCAGAAATCTAGACTAGTTCGCGACCTCTGCTGCGCCATTCGTAAGCGCATTAGTCACTTTTATGGATACCGGTAGTAATAAGAGCGTATGGTCACATTGATCAACAAAATGAAATACAGTTTTCGAGATAATAAGGAAATGTAGGTATCTTTGTGGGTAGCATCGGTAATGGTGACGAAGTTTTGATAAGTCACTTGTTTGGTAATTTTGCGATTTTCGTTTACAATATTTTGACTTGCAACACAAAGTAAATATTTCACCTCAGCATTGCTTTTTTATAGTGTGTATATTATTTTACTGTCAAAATGCTTAACATATTTATTAAACGTCTAAATATTCAGTTATTTTACAAATTGACTGAAAAATATTTCCATCTCTATTATGATAACGAATTCCAAACATTTTGATGTTTAATGTCATCACCAAGAGACTGAAAATGTTACGTTGAAAAGTACATTTCTATGTTGTTTGGCTTCTAATCCTACATAATAATCTGTTGTGATGTTTGTAGGCCCTTTTGGTAGTCTTAATCAATCTGGACAGATTTTTTAGTCAAAATGACTGAAATATTTACACATTTTATAAATTGCCTGAGCGAATCACATTTTACAAATTGACGGTAATATATACACGCTTACAAAGGAAAAGACCTGTGAAAACAACGTCTATCGCGCATTGAAGAATTTCCCAACCAACACGTAGAGAAACAAGAACGAATTATCGGTTCTAATGAAGGAAAACAAAATGCAAATACCATAATTACAACCTACCAAATTTATGTGTATAAATTTAGGCAGCTTCCTTGTTCGAGGAATGTATCCTTGAATATCCACACAAAGGAACAATATCCCACTCGTCTGCAGCTGTACAAAGAAACTTATTCGATGTCACGTGTCTCTGTAACAATCAAATATTTCAAAAGATATATATCATTTCGGGATATTATAACCCGTGTTCGTTTCTCAACTGATCACTTGGATTGTTTCAGGTGTTTCACATAGGTGTCAAGTCTCAAGGGTCGGCTGAGAAAGCCCACGTGACAACTATTTTCATAACGTCCACGGTTCCTAAAAAGTCCATTGAGTGATAGATAACAATGATCAATCAATCAACGTATTATCAGTTAACCCTTTGAACAAAGTATATCACGCCATGATATGAGTGTATTCCCTTTGTTTTAGTAAACCTAGACATGTAAACACTCACTTTTGACATATCCACTGTGCAAGATAACAGTGATTAATCAATCAACGTATTTTCTGTTAATCCTTTGATGACTAGGAACGATCCGTTGATTTACAAAAAAAAGTAAATCAACTGATCATTCATCTCTTGCTGGACTGCCACGTGCATATTACATAACACACATTTCACCTCACTTCAAACCTGGATTTAGATTGAATAATTACCCCAGACACAATAAATGCCAAATGGGAACCTTTGTCAGGTAATCTAAGTGGTGCTACCACTAATTGTACCTGTAATAAATTCATTAACTGAGCATCAAGTGAATGACGACAAATACACAAGTGTAGGGTTATACGAGAAAACGTGGATGACAACAAGGGAGTATTAATCGTATTATCGACGCAATCCGAAATCCGAAAATGCTTTCACTGCATGGATACTTTTTTTAGTATTAAACTATAACCATCTGGGGTATTTCCAAATGACGACATCCGATGAGCTCCGCCGTTCTTTTTGTCTGTTTGTTTAGGCTGAAGAAATTAATTAACATGCGCCCTCTGTCAAAATCTTTATAGATCACAGTTAACCAATCAGTGTTTATGCAAAAATGCGTAAAACAAATATTGCCTCCAGCCTCCAAGTTTATTTAACTGTCCTTGCAGACGGTAGCCCAGTCTCTGGTCACGCTCAGTTGCGTTGCGTATCATCCGGGTACTCACGGGGAAAAAACAATAACAAAGGCAACAACCAGTCCGGGGAATTGCGTTAGATCAGTGCCCCTTTAAATATATATTTAGTTGTATATATCAAAACAGATAAAAAATACGAGCTTAATAAACATTCCAGGTGTAGGAATACATACTGTGGCGTTAATTTATGTACACAATTTGACACACTTACAAAGTCAGAAGCCAATGAACGGAGAGTAGGATCAAAACAATGTTCATAGGCCTGTCAATCAAGGCAATAGGCGAGAAGAACTGCAACTGCAACGAACCGGAACAAATATGTCCGGGAGAAGGCGGCTGTTTCAGATGACACGGTCAGTTACCGCCAGATTCAAACATAATTTCCTGAGAACGGGAAGACACAGTTGGAAAAATGTTAGTTAGAATGAAACCCGACATTTTCTTATAGGTGTCCTGCGTACTAACAACAATGCGCCTGAATTACCATAAGTTTAAGAAATTCTTCCAAAAGGATCTTGAGCATCGGTGCTGTTATGTTTGCAAACACATCAGCAAAAGCAGGTTGTTAATGCATATGCATAGAGATGTCACCAATGCCCATATTTGGGCATATATCAATATTCAGGTGCAACCAGATTTTGCAATCGGTTTCAGTTTGGTCTGTCAACGAACGAAAGTTGTTATGTATTTACACTTAAATATATATTTAACGTGAGTAATAATTAATAATACAACACAATACAATATTAAAATACAACACTCATTCTCGTTAGGGGGTTTGGGGGTTTGGGTATTGTAGATAAAACATGTTTTCGTTGTCGAATTTACTTCAAGGATTGACTGTGTATTTTCCCCGGTTCATTGAGGTATGAATCGAAAAACCGATGTGCAAACTTAAGTAACGCGGTTTATCGATTCATACCTTAATGAACCGGGAAAAATACATGTTACACTCTTATTGCTGCCGACTGGCTGATAGACCATCACACTCCGACAGTAGTGAGTCGTACTCAGTCAAAACAGACTATAGCCAACAGATCATTGTATCGTAACCAATGACATCAGTCGACTGGCAAAGTGGGAACCAACCGCTGCCGTCATGTAACTGGAACATTGCCGAGTGCGGTCAAAGGTAGGTAACTCTGTCGGACACAACTCACATTCTGGAGTTAATTCCCTTTGATTAGGGGTGATAAAACTGTGTTAATGAGGGAACGATAAAAAATCACCCCCGACACGTAGAATGAATGATGCATGTGTCTGTAATAAGATCGGATGCCGTTAGGCCCATGATTATTGTAAGTTTATGATCGTGCCGTTTGCATATTACGAGTAGTTTGCCTTTTGTAAAACACTAGTAATATGCAAACGACACCATCTTAAACTAAAAAAGCGGGTTCGATTCCACAGATGGGTTCAATGTGTAAAGCCCATTTCCGTTGTCCTTCGCTGTGCATTTGCTGGAATATTGCTAGAAGTGGCTCGCTCACGTAAACTTAAAAAAGTAGAGAATTAGTGGGATTTAATGTCGCTTTTGATATTTAGCTCATATGACGGCGTCTCAGCTTATTGTGGGAGGAAAGCCCGAAGAGATTAGTCGAACAGTTTGATGAAATCCACAGGTGCGGGTGATCAAGGATCATAATCGGGGCGAATTTGGAATCGAACCGGCCCCCTGTGGATCCTGTCACGGTAAAGAGATAATTACAACACTTTAGATTGTCTGACCATAAGTATTATGAATGCACCATTCCCCCAACTTTATATTTGATTCCGTGGATGAGTGAGTGAGTGAGTGAGTGAGTTTGGTTTAACACTTTGAACAAAATTTCAGTTATTTCACGTCAGCTTTATGAATAATGAGTCTACTACATGTCATCGCGTCCTAATTGCGCGGATCGATGCTCATGATGTTAATCACTGGATTGTCTGGTCCAGACTCGATTATTTACAGACCGCCGGGATATAACTGGAATATTGCCGAGTGCGGCTTTAAACAGCAAACAAAACAAACTTTCAGGAACACATGAGAACGGATGTGGTGCTGATGAATCTAGAAACATAATCAGGTCGAAACTGGGATTCGAACCGATGGTCACAGGATTCTGGCACGCCTAATGTGCGCAAACCTCCACAACGGATTGCGGCACCATCCTTGTCCCTTTATTTCAAGGGATGCTACACAAAAACAACATTTCAATATATGAATGTGAAGCGTTTATTCAACAGAAGATTTAACAAATTAAATAATATAAAGTCACAAATTTGCTAAAAAATAGTTCAAGCACACGGAAACTTTAAACATGGACTGGACATGAAGGTGGGGTGAGGTGAAATTGGGTGTAATGTCGCGTCCAAGACTATTGCACTTATAGAGCGACGTGCATGCACGTGAGTGTATGTGTGTGTGTGGCTGCTTGTACTAGTCCGGACTGATGCCGATTTATAATGCTAGCTCACTGAGATACCATGCCGCAGTTTAACATGAATACCCCACCCAGACACAGTATACTGACTCCGAGCCGACCAGTCCTTGTTTTAGCCCCTTAATGCCGAGCGCCAGACAGGGTTACAACAAGTAACATACTTTAACGTCTTTTTGTATGACGCGGCCGGGGATCAAACCCCGGACCTTCCACTCCCCGGGCGGACGCTCTACCACTAGACCACGGAGGCGGTCTGGACATGATGGACGTGAAGTGTAATGATGACTATACTTGTTAGAGGTCAAGCGTGATTAATCACAAGCCCTATTGGAGACGCATTATCGCGATGATGGAAAGTAATTCAAATATGATTGACACAAGTCATATAAATCAAATGTCACGGAAATCTGCAACTCAAAATTTAGGTGAAGTACATTGCACAAGATTCCCATGACAAATGAGTGAGATTTCCGTCATAACATGCGTTGTTAGCCTTGTTCCCAGCTGCGCAAACCGTGTGACATTGCATCGTCGGCATTCATCGGGGTAATAGGTTAATATCTAGTCTGATAGGGCCAGATTTGACAGATTTGATGGACAGATTGGAATTTAAAAAACGTCAAGCATGGTGGGTTTTGAATTTATTAACTACATGCATGTTTGTTGGTGGTTAGCATAAATGAAACAAGCAAGAAATGGTTATTCGATGGTGATGTATTTGATATAGGTGTCATAGTTGTGTTTTGTACCTTTAGTTGGCAATGTCTCGGCGACTATTTACAGCCTAGTAACGTTTTGATAACGTTTGTAATTAATTGGTCAAACCCAATTTTCAACTGTATACTTTCTCTGGTTAATCTCAGTTTAGATCACAATATAAATGAGCAAACAGCATAGAAGAGACAAATCAAGGACCTATACTTATAAAGTTTTGTAAAATTACAATGATGACAAGGGGTGTTTGCGATGATGAGAGTAAATAGCACGGTAAAACCCCGTTAATCCGGACGGTATCGTTCCCAGTGAAATCGCCGGATTTGACAAAGTTCCGGGTAAAGAAAATAATTGTAACGATGTAAGAATCTACATCGAAACGTCGCTATATGCAATAAACCAGAAAATGTTATTCATAAAGTTTTCTTACTTACTCATCAACTTCTAGAATACCAATCAAACAGTTAGTACTATCTCTTTGTATATATGGGCGGTGCGGTAGCCTTGTAGCTAAAGCGTTCGCTCTTTACGCCGAAGACCCGGGTTCGATTCCCCACATGGGTACAAAGTGTGAAGCCCATTTCTGGCGTCCCACGCCGTGATATTGCTGGAATATTGCAAAAAGCTGCGTAAAAACATACTCACTCGCTCACTTTGTATATACAGAGGTTCCACAGTTGTCACTCGGTGGGCGCTACTTCCGGACTGATGGAGTTCAATGCATGACCTATGATGAAGTAATGATATGCAAAACATTTTACACAGCCCTATGATGCAGGATGAACTGTGTGTGAGATATGTTGTTTAACGCCGCAGTCAGCAGTATGTCAGCTGAATCACGGCGGGCTGTACACGATCGAGTCTGGTCCAGGCAAACCAGTAACTGAAAGCATTATCAACAAGTCAGGCCATCGGAACCTCATGACACACAATCAACCAAATCAAAGCGCTTCACCGCCTTATCCCAATCTTACGACAAGCACAGGTTATGTGGGAACAGTTGATCAGTTCTGACCATAAATTCAACTATATCAGTGTTCACTGAAGGACAGTTTCTTTGGAAGGTTACTGTGGAATTCAACATTTGCGATACTCGACTTCTTAAGTTTTAGCAAGGATTCCGCATGAAAGTTAATTCAGAGTCATAGAACCCTTTCTCGAACAGAGGAGTCGTTTCAGCTCATTTCTGAATCTTGGGTTGCAGAAGCCGTACACGTAGCAGTTGATGACGTTGTTAATGTGGTAGGAGTGGAAGAGCATCTTGAACACTGTGAACATGTAACCATGGAGACTGTTCACGAACTTCCAGTTTGAGCCCCACAAAGCCACCAGGACAAGGAAAGGGAGAAAACTCACAATAAATACGACGGTAATGATGAACAAGGTGAAGGTCGTTTTGCCGGTTGATTGCTTCTTGCCACCGTTTGATTTTTCTTTCGGGGAATCTGATTTGGGTTTGGGTTTGGTTGGAGCTTTCTGTTTCTTAATTTGGAGTAGGGAAATATCGTCGGTCCCCGACATTTTCTCGGATGAAACCTCAGCCATGCTATTGCCGCGTGCCGCGCTGGCTGGATCTTTCTCGTCTGCTTCAGACATGTACCCAGACGACACCTCCTTTTCAACAACCTTATGTTTGTTTGACGATGATGATGGGACATTTTGCATTTCTGTAGATCCCGTTTGGGTCTGAGTTCCCGATGACGAACCTTCAGCCTTCTTGGGCTTAAATCGGAATGTTCTGTGTCTAAAGACTTGCCGACCAATCAATGAATATAGAACAATTAGCAGAACCACGCAGACGATAAACAGTAAAAACAGAATCCCGCTGTAAAACTTCGTAATAGGGGTCCCAAGGTATTTGTCGTCATAGGAACAATTAGCACCGAACACGTCCTTCCTATCAGTCGGAACTGTTCGGTTCCCACCGACCACGGCCCCAAGTACAGTCAGAACAACGGCTACGATGTTCGTAACCAGTATGGACAGACCGGCAGATCTGATCGTGTATTGACGCTGCAATGGGCGACACACTTTCCTATACCTGTCCACGGCAATTATGATCAGTGTGAACATGGAAACAAGCACAAAGTACATTCGACTAAATCGGAATATTTTACACAAGGCTGGAAAGAAGAAGGTGTAATGAAACCTCAGCTCCACGATGACCCCCGGGATGGACAAACTGCACGTGAGGAGGTCAAACACCGCTAGGGTCAAGATGAACAGCCGGGTGGTGCTGGGCTTGAAATTCTTCAGATACACAACGAAAACGAGGCTGTTGCCGATGATGCCGATGACCATGAGGATGAGGAGGTAGACGATGACGGGGTAGATATACGGCCACTTCTCGGCGTCAAGGTGACGAAGATACTCAAGACGCTCCTCTTCGGTGATGTTGGAGACGGACGTGTTCGGTGACGTCATTGTTATGTTGAATGACGTCACTGATGATGACGTTGTGCCAGGAAACATAGTGGCTGGGTCACCCATGATGGCGTTTGGTTTTCTGTAAATAAAATTATTTCTTGGATTAGAAATATTGCTAAACTACATTGTGAGAAATGTGTATGGAATTCTTTCCTCGGTTTTTCTCAGTCTTACACAGGCTCGCAAAGTACATAACTCTGGGACCAGCTTCACAAAGCAAACTTTTGTAACTGTTGTAACTAAATCAACGTAGGTGAGCCGACATGGGGTTAATGGTCGCGTTGTTGTTGGACTTACATAGCGATGTGTTTGTGTGTGTGTGTGTGTGTGTGTGTGTGTGTGTGTGTGTGTGTGTGTGTCCTGAGACACTGAGATACCATGCCACAGTTTAACATGAATACCCCACTCAGACACAGTATACCGACTCCGAGCTGACCAGTCCTTGTTTTAGCCCCTTTATACCGGCGCCAGGCAGGGTAACAACAAATACCATCTCTTCACGTCTTTTGGTATGATGCGACCGGGGATGGAACCCCCGACCTTCCGGTCTAATTTAACGTAGATTTGTGATAATCGCTTTGTGTAGCAGGGCCCTGATATCAACACGGCAACAATTTCCTCACTACGCCACACCCCTCGTGCACACAATGGGGGCAGAGCGACCAGGAAAATATAACGCAATATGTGACTATATTCTTAAACTGTAGAAAACGATAGAAACTGTGTTTCCTATGAACGGTTTCAAAACATCGCGACTGAAATTTATGTCTGAATAGAGGTTTCTTTCTTCCTGCTAATCTAACAATAACTAGTGCCCCACATCCTGATTGAACCAAGTATATGTTGCCTTTGAAAGTTTATGATGGTGAACAATCAGCCGTTTTACCTGAATAGTCCGCCCGTACATTAGGGCTGAATATCACAATTGTGCATAAGGAATTATTTATGCCCAGTGCGTGATCTTGAATAAAACATGGTACTGTGCTGTGGAGAAAATATTAGCAAAATTCAGCATTACTTGTTATGTATTTCAATTTGAATTATCCATTTATAAACCATGACTCCTTTGTCTTTGACCGTGGTCTAACTAATTGAATTGTTAGTTAAACACAACTTGGTAATGACGGAATTACTTTTTTCCCTATCATTTATCTTGATGATTTTTTTATTGTCCCACTTCAGTACGTACATAAAGTTACTTTGTACAATACACCTGGATACAATGTACAGAAACCTTCAATAGAATTGTGAGAAACAAATTATCCTAAAATCCGTACTGATATGATGTAAAGATGATAAAACGTTGTCAACATAATAGATGATTTCTTCAATATTTAAGTATTAACAGGCAGAATTTGGCAAGCAAAAAACACGCACTGGCATCACTAAATGTAAAACAAAGTTTTTTTCGATATCAGGTTTGTCTAAAATATTCTGGGACTTAACAATGCATTCATTAAAATGAATTGATCTTATATCGTCAAAAAGACGTAGAGAAACAAATACGAACCTCATCTTCTACGCTGTCATTACAGATAAAACACTGGCTATTGTGGACAGGTATACCTTCATACCGACCGGTGACCGGAGTCACGCCACACCTAAACTCGGCTAGTGCCGAGCTATAGGTTCTTATTTAAAGCATATACTGTCCTATATACTTGCTTGTAACGTCGGTACACTATCAATTTAGTCAGCTCATTTCGTCCCTCTTACTTTCTTAACGTATCACTCCAACAAGTAACACACTCATTCATACTTCATTTTTCTACCTGTGAACACGCAAAAGACGTATCTATAATACCCGTTAACAGGTGTCCAAAATCCATAGTATTAAACTTCTTTCTTGACCTACCATTCCAAGTTTTACAACTATTTACAGCGCACCTATTAGCCCAGTCATACATATGTTTGTTTAACCTTCTTCGCATATTCTTAAGGCGACACCATTGCCTTGTTACATTTTTCCATTGTCTGATAATAGGTGGTATACATCCCACATCCCTATTTATTGCGACATTAGGGGCATATATACCAAGTCCGTAATACAATCTAACGGCTCTGTATTACAAGTATTGCTGATACATCAAAACACATCTTTTATATCATCATGCCAAAACACGTCCAAAGATGGGTAATTGGTGTTACCCTGTCTGGTGCATACATGTCGCTATATAAAGCTTATCCATCCATTATAGATTACTTTTTACTACCAGTTGCAGGAATGAGAGATGGTTAAATAGATATAATGTAATTTAACAAAAGTTCCAATTTTCAATTACATAAAAAAATCGGTATACTTTCTTTTGTTCCACGGTATATTGTTTAATATTAGCGTTTTCCTTTTTTAATGATCGATAAGTTCATTTAGTACGATGTGTATAATGTGGATATTAAATAATGTAAAATATCTATGTCATAAACCGTCATACTCTGGCAGATATTTATATAAAAATATCTATAAAAACTGCCTACCAAAAGAAATTATACAGTGTCGCCTACCTTCGTTGGTGGCTAGAATGAAGTGAGTGAGTGAGTATAGTTTTACGCCGGTTTTAGCAATATTCCAGCAATATCACGGCGGGGGACACTAGAAATGGGCTTTACACATTGTACCCATAGAATAAAAGAAATAAGAAATGGTTATGCGATGGTAATGTGGACCTTAAGTTTTCAGTGTTTTGACGAGTGTTTGTAATTTTTGGGTCAAATCCAATTTTGGTGTGTATACTCCCACGACAGTTTATGTTCGAAAGTTGAGGAAATAAAGAAAATGTTTCCTTAATGACAGCTTGTGTATTATCCCCTGTTGTTTCCTAGAAATGAATTCCATGTAATCAAGAAAAGTGCGAAAAAAAATGTATTTTCATTATTAGTGACAAAGTTAGGTAATTTGCTGATCATAATTACAAGGTGAAAAAAATATTTTAACATGTATTCTTTTTCGTTTCAAATTGGCAGGACATATGAATTAAAAGATCAAGGTATTCATATATGCACTCAATAAATCATCATTCCAAATACAACTCATATATAAGCCATTAGCCATAACCTGTTACATAATGCAGGATGTAGATGTGATTGGTATTTCATGTTATTTATTAGATGTGTTAGTCACAGGTGTCCGTCACGGTTGAAATATGCCCCTATTTTACAGCCTATTTGCCCCGGGGTGGGTCTCGTGCAGGTATGTGTCTGTTACCTGAGAGTCGCGTGTCACAGGTAAATAATTGCTCTAACACTGGGATCGACGAAACAAACAACATTTCTGTCATATTTTCTGTGAAGCCTGCAATCACGTGCACAGTTTATACATTGCAAGAAACTAACAAAGACAGAGCTGGCTTCGGGATTTCGATTATTTTATTCTATCAAGCGACGTTTTCGCTTCATGTGCTAGTACACTGGTACCTTTATCAAACACCTCTATCGGAACGTCCCTTTGAGAGATTAGAGAAGTAGAAATCCATATCTTCACCGATACTACCTCCCAACATCTACATAAAAATTTAGAAAATGTTGAAACAAGCATTCTACGAATATATTAATACTGAAATTATTTTTAATGATACTCATGTAATTATCAGAGTTGTATTATTTAAAATATATTTATAACTAATAGTAGAAAAATATTTAAAGAACGCTAAAATAAACACTTACCTTATGTATCAATATATGACAAACAATACGACTATGAACAGCTGTTTCAGACTCCCGTTACTCTGTTGGGTGACGTAGAGAGACTGGCTTGTACTGCCAGTGGCCACTTGTTTTTAACAGCCAAAGTTTTCGCTTACGACCTCGACCTCCGGATGAAGGCCACAACCCTTACTTCCTCGTTATCAGCCAATGAAAGCAGCGAATACTATTACTATTATACTGTGTGTATGTATTTACATCCGGAATCTAGATTGATTAAGTCGCTGCAGACTCCCATTGACGTTGAAAGGCTCAATGTCTAAGCGAGAGGAGAGGTCTGTAGTAATTCTTTGAAACGCTTGTTGGGGGAAGTAACATTGCAGCGACGCCTAATTACCAGATTGCACATATACAATGACTAATTGACACATCTTTAATCACATGATAAATCATAGACCGCTCCCTAACCACAACGTGTAATATTTGATAAATTAAAAAGAAATGCTTGTTACGAAAGTTATTTATTCACAAAACCACACACCAACCTGTGAGTGAGTGAGTGAGTGAGTGGGTGGGTGGGTGGGTGGGTGGGTGGGTGAGTGGGATGAGTGAGTGAGTGAGTGAGTGAGTGAGTGGGAGCTAGCGATTAAGGTTTTACGCTGCACTCATAATTAATATTCTAGCCACATCATGACGAGGAAGCACCAGAAATAGACTTGATACATGTACCCATATAGGGAATCAAACTCGGACTACGATCCAACGCTTTAGCTCTTTCACTATCCACCGTCCTTCAGACTATATAGAAACATAGACAAACCTCTACTCTTCCAACAGTATACGGTAACGCGGACAGCCACATTTACTAATAGTTGTGAGTAAGTGAGTTGGGTTTAACGCCGCTTTCAACAGTATTTCATTGATACATTATATATAAAGCTTCACGTGGAAGGAAAGCATGGGTATGATACACCAAGAATCATAATCAGGGGGGCAAAGCTTAGATTCGAACGCATGACCACGAGCATTGGTTTCCGGCATGCCGTGTCCCCTTGGTGCTAGTGAGATAGTATTTCGGCAACATTCAGTTCAGCATACTCCGATCTCTGACGTAATGTGTTTTACGCATCATCGTATACGACGTCGTACATATTCTGAAAACAGTGATGGGTGACCCACGACACGAGATCTGATACGTCAATCAAAAGAGGTCTGTTAATCTACAAATCCATCCCATCGTATTGGATGTAATATTTGTTTTCTCATATGACTGCGGTTAATCTTCTTAAAGAGTTAAACAGCACCGGATGTTTTAATATGACTATACTTATTAGTTAATCTCCTAAAAAAAGTTAAAGAACACCGGATTGTTTTCATATTACTATAGTTAATCTATCTTCTCAAAAGAACTTGAAGAACACCGAATTTTTTTATGACTAA